AAGGGAGATTTAAAAACGACTCAGAAAAGAGTAAACCACGCAGGCAGAGACTACGCGGGCCTGTGGAGTTTAAATCTATGTGGGGAAGCAGATGATAGGGTGCGTGGGGACTTGAAGTCAATCTGAGGTGTCTAAAAAAATATAAAGAACTGCAGCAAGAAAAGCCAGTGCGTGATAATTTATATTAAACTGCTGGCTCCATGCACAAGGCACAGGCCACACGGCCGCCGCAAGGCACAGGCCACACGGCAGCTGCAAGGCACAGGCCGCGGCTAAGGAAGGGAGGGCTCGTGCCAAGCTGAACTCGATCGGGGGAAGGAGAGGTCCTAAAAGCCAAACGTTCGGGCACCAGATGAAGGCGTAAGTCACGAACAAGGCCACACCAGTTTGGAGTTATGATTAATAGGGTGTTATTTATTTAAAGGGGAAAACTTACAGATCACCGTCTCAGACAACAGCCATCTGCACAACCAGGAAGGGAGTCTAGTCTCCAGCGGAGCAGGAAGTGAAGAGAGCGAGCAGAGGAAATAGCTGCTTTTTTAAAGGGAAAGAGACCACGCCCCAATGGGCTGGTATCACAGCAGCTATTGGTTGGAGTGGCAGAAGGACCTCCCGCAACACTCAAGCCTTTAATCCCAGCATTTAATACATAAAGGAGTTTGATCTCTGTTAGTTCAAGGCCAGCCTGGTCTACAAAGCAAGTTTGAAGTTGTTCAAGGCTACATATGGAAAAGAGACCCTGTCTCAAAAAAGAGAAAAAACTTTAAATAAGAAATGCTTACTTTAAAAAACTGGATTCAAGGTCTTTTCACATCTGCCCGACACAGGCGTTGAGTGCAGCTTGAGTTTTCATGTATCAGCAGTGTGTGCTTCTAACAGCTGAGCCACCACTCCAGCCAAAATGACAAGTATTAAACCTCTGCAGTTTTAAATCAACAAGTTTACTTTTGCAGATGTTTAATGTTGATTCTTTTATCATCATAAAAGCATTCAAATAATTATGAGGATCATTTATATGAGAAAAATCAATTCACACGATAGTCTGGTGTTGTTCAAGAACTACATTCAAGAGAGTAGTCTCCCCAGACAAAGAGTTTCTATTTGTCACCACCACTCTTTGCTTATTCATTTTTAGTTTTGAGCCCAGGTCTCACTGTGCGGTCCTAACTGCATCTAAGTCACAGATCCAACCACCTCGGCCCCACATGGGTTGAGGATTAAAGGCATAAGTCACCATACCTGACCATATTTATAATCTTTATGTAACATCTATACAATATATCACAAGCTGCGAGGTAAACAAGTAAAATGCTTTCTAGACTGCAAGGATATGTAACTTGTTCATAGCATGCTTTTTAAAAACACTGCCTGCGCCTTACGTCATAGGGTTTATTTCACTTTCTTTGTTGAGGTTTATTTGTTTATCTTTGTTTCCTGCATACCCGCCTGACTAATTCTCTCAGAGGAGAGAAAAGGGGTCAGACCCCTTAGAGTTGGGGTCATAGGCATGTGAACCAACCATGTTGTGTGTTTAGATCCAGGCTCAGGTCCTCTGCAAGAGCACAGCTGTGCGTTTTTGGCTGGCACTGCAGGTTTCCGAAGTTGGCGAGTTAGTACCAACTGACTTAAGTAAAAGATGGTTTTACTTAACTTTACTTTTCTTTTTTCTTTTTTTTTAAATTTATTTATTATGTCATGCCAGAAGAGGGCACCAGATCTTATTAGAGATAGTTGTGAGCCACCATGTGGTTGCTGGGAATCGAACTCAGGACTTCTGGAAGAACAGTCAGTGCTCTTACCCTCTGAGCCATCTCTCCAGCCCAAAATATTTTATTTATTTATTATATATACAATATTCTGTGTGTATGTCTGCAGGCCAGAAGAGGGCACCAGATCTCATTTTTAGATGGTTGTGAGCCACCATGTGGTTGCTGGGAATTGAACTCAGGACCTTTGGAAGAGCAGGCAATGCTCTTTTAACCACTGAGCCATCTCTCCAGCCCCCTTAACTTTATTTTTCTAAAGAGAAAAACTTGCTGGCCAAAGTGCGCTCATTCAATGTACACTCAGAAAGAGCAGGAGTCACTGTAGAACTTCTTGTCTTGGTTGTCATGGCTGTCTCCATGTCCACAGTAAGATGGTGCAAACGAACATGAACTTCTGCTTTGACATGGCCAGATGCCCAATGAGGTGGAATGGGAAGAACCTGGCCCCAGCAGGGTCGCCTGTGTGTTGAAATAAGAGCGGCGGGGCTGCGTCCCCAACACCCCAGCCGCTTGGCTAGCTCACGCCCGAAATAACAACACACAAACTGTATTCATTTAAAGAACTGCTTGGCCCATGAACTCTAGCCCTTACAGGCTAATTCTCGCACCTGGACTAGCCCATTTCTAATAATGTGTGTAAGCACCCCAAGGTGCGCTTACCGGGAAGATTCTAGCCTACATCCATCTTCATCGCGTGTGCCTCAGAGAGCAGAGCTATCGCGTCTACCCGGGAGAGCTGAGCATGGCGTCTGTGATCCGGAGAGCAGAGTCTCTCCGGGAGCAGAGCAGAGTCTGACCTCACTTCCTCTTCCGCCTAGAATTCTATTCTGTTTACTCCTCCCATCTATGTTCCAAGCCATGAGGCCAAGCAGCTGGTTTATTATAACTTAACCAATGAAATCAACAGATTGATATATGACACTCCCACATCACCTGTGAAGGGAGAGCCATCTTCAGCCACCTGTCACCCACTGCTTTCTGTCTTTTTAACAATTGTTTATAAGTTCTAACAAAATACCACATGTACCTCTAATCCATCCGGTGGGCTGTCAAGGGCTGTCCAACCACTTTCCGTAACTGCCTGCAGTTTCTAAGTTCATGTACAAATGTGTAGCCCTGGGAAACTTGATTACCTGAGCCAGGAATCATGCAGTGTGCCAGACTGAACACGGCAGTCACGCATTAGCATGGCTTTAAGGACTCCTCAGTGGAAGGCCTGCAAGCAGGACACGGGATGGAATTCCTCCCCAGCAGTGGAGCACAACAGGAAAGCAGCTGGACACGGGCTCTTCCTGCCTGCCATTGTCACTGCTGGAGCCGCTGCTTCAGCACCATCACCGGTTCCACACGGAGAGATCGAAAGTGGATTGTAGACTTGGGGGAAAAGGGCAGGGTTCCATAGTCCCATGTAGACTCCAGGACTCCAGGCTCAAAATGCTGGGGTGGCAGCGGCTGCTCGTGTTTAACTTTGGTCTTTTGAGAAAGGGTCTCACTTATAACCCAGGCTTGCCTAACTCTCAGAGTGCTCTCCCTGATACAACAGTCCAGAGTTCAGTTGTGCAACACACCAGGATTCTGTTTATTTCACTAATAAATGTGCACAATGAATAGAAGTTGGGCATGGTGGTGCAGGCCTTTAATCTGAGCTCTCTGCAGCAGAGGCAAACTGATCTTTATGATTTTAGGGCTAGCCTGGTCTGCATAGTGAGGTCCTGTTTAGCAAGGGCTACAGAGTGAGACTCTACAAAGAAAATGAAACTCTAGGATCGTGATGTATATATAAGTATTCTTAATGTGGCTTTCCACAAATGATGCAGAACTGAGAGAAAAATAAATCTGTAGATTTATATATCAAATGGGCAGTAAAATAAGCATAATTCAGTCAAAATATTCAGAGGTAAATATGGAGTGATTAAGTAAATATACTTTGACCCCATACGGTTTAGTTCACCAAAATCCTATATTTATGTTGATGGGCCATTTCTACAGGATAGTTTAACAGACTGCAAATTTTTGGTGCACAGTCCTTTAAATCAAACTTTCTTTTTACAAAAATGAAAATAGCACATTTTCCACAGTGTATGACTATCCAGAAAGTGTCCGGTTTCCTTAGTCCTCTCTCAGTTTCTTAGCAATACCTCACTAAAGCCCTAGAAAAGAGTCCTACTGAGTGCAGAGATGTTCAGGGAAGACTTTGCAGTCCAGCCCCAAGTTCTGCTGCGATGCCAGTCTCTGCAGGTCTGGGGCAGTTGTGTGCCTGGGCTGGAAGACAGAGCTGGGAACCATTGGGCTGCGTTCCTTCACAAGACTTTGTTCCTAAGGACGCTGCTCCCGTGACTAAGGCCTCAGTAGCCAATCAGGGCTCCCAGCCGGACTGCCCGTCAGAATGGGGCGGGCACTTCCGGTCCGCCGTGCTACAGGTTCGGAGGCCCCGGGCCTGAAGTAGAGTCTTGTGTTCTGTGTTCTGTGCTGTGACCCGTGGTCGGGAGCTGTGGGGAGAGCGGGGCGAGCTCGGAATCCGCCATGGTGAGCGAGGGCCGCCGTCCCCACACGGGAGGAGCCGCGGGAGCCGGTGTGGGGTCCTCCCGGGGCTGTGGGAGGCGGCGGAGAGATCCTTCCATTTCCTGCAGCTCCCGGGGCCCGTGGTCCCGAATGACTCATCTAAGGCTGCGGCTGCGCAGAACACGGGGATGGAGATAGGGGGGTGGGGGGGGGGGGGAGGGAGAAACTGCGCGAGGATGACGCCACCTTGCCGCGCGTGCGCAGCTTTCATCTCTGCAGTGGGAGGCCGACTTGTTAACTTGCAGATACCTGGTTTCCTCTAGAAGTTCTGCACTTGGCACGGAACATTCATGTATAGGATCCGTCTGCAGTTAGTTCTGTGCAGGGCATAAGTCTGTGTCATGAACACATCTGCATGGAGATGCCAGGGTGGTTCAGTTGTCAATAAGTCCAGACCTACTGGATTACCGGCCCGCATGTGTTAAAATATCGGTGTTTTAATTGTGATTTTGTTTCTAAGTTTGTGCCCCTACCCCCGGTTTTTCTAGACAGGGTTTCTCTGTAGCTTTGGAGCCTGTCCTGGAATTAGTTATTTAGACCAGGCTGACCTCGAACTCACAGAGATCTGCCTGCCTCTGCCTCCCAAGTGCTGGGATTAAAGATATGCGCCACCATCGCCCATGTTAGGGGTTTGGGGGATGACTCAGAAGAGGTTTGCTGGTTAAATTTGGTCAGCTTGCCACAAGCTAGAGTTACACTGGCCTGTAGGCAAAGCTATAGGGTGTTTTCTTGATTAGTGGTTGATATAATAGGGCCTACCCTGGGCAGGTGATCCTGAGTTGTATAAGGAAGCAAACTGATCAGGCCATGCTAGCGGGGCAGTAATCCACATTTCTCCAGGTTGACAGCACATGTGGGAACATAAGCCTGTGGTGTATGTGAGTTAGCAGATCTGTTCCCGGACCCATCCTCTTGGGGTGTCAGCCAGAGCCGGAGACTTATTATTGAAGAGATTTTTCTTTATTAAGGTCTCAGTGTGCTCCAAGGCTGCCTGGATCCCAGTGTGCAGCCCCACAGCCCATTAACGTGGCTGTCCCCCTGAATCGGCTCCTCGATTCTTGGATTAAAGGTTTGTAGCCACCGCACAGCGCTAGATCTCCCCGTTTGACTCAGAGTGGGCTGTGCATGGTGTTTGAAGATGGCGTCTCCGTGGAGAACAGAAGAGTATGACCAGTTTGTTGTCACGGCAGGGGTAAGCAGGCTAGGCAATGGCTGGATTTCAAGTTAATTCTAAGACAGTGAGCTGCAGGGGCCTCCGTCAGAAGAGGAACCTGATGGGGCACGGCGAGTGATCTTCTGTGCACTTTCCCACCCTATGAAGGAGTGCAAACCAAATTGGTGGGTGTACAAATTGGGGAGCTTACCTCCAGCGTCTGAAGTTTCCAACTGGGCGACTCTCTCATGTTGGTACGTGCAGACGTGCCGAGAGGATTGAGACACAGGCATTTGGCTGTGGCTTGTATGTCGGCATACAGCACTCAGCAGCTAACATTTTACACAGAGAAGGCCATACATGCGGTAATGACATTCCCTCTACCAGGAAAGGTCCTGCTCTGGTTCAGTCAGTATAGGTAAGTGTTCTTTCTGCTTATTTTTAAGACTTTTACACACTGGTTGTTGGTGCCTGTGTTAGTGTTCTGTTGCTGTGAAGAGAAACCTTGGCCATGGCAAGTGTTACAAAGGAAAACATTTAGTTGGGCCTGGCTTACAGTTCCAAAGGTTTAGTGTATTGTCATCATGGTGGAGAACATGGTGGCAGGCAGACATGGTCCTGGAGAAAGTACTTGAGGGTTCGACATTGGCTCCACAGGCAGCAAGAAGGCCACTGGGCCATGCTTGGGCCCGTGAAACTCAAAGCCCACCTGCAATGAGGTACTTCCTCCAACAAGCCCACACCTATTAGGAGGGATTGGCCACACCTCCTAATCCCTGTCAAACATTGCCACTCTCTGGTGACTGAGTATTCAGTCATAAAGGCCTGTGGAGGCCATTCTCATTCAAACCACCACAGTATCACTTCTGTTCTCCAGTGACTGCCAGTTACAAGAACTTTATTCCTGGTGGTGGCACTGCAGGCCTTTAATCCCAGCACTCAGGAGGCAGAGGCAGGCGGATCTCTGTTACAAGAGGAGGGGGCCAGCCGCATGGCTAGTTTACACCCGAAATTACCACACAGAAACTGTATTAATTAAAACACTGCTTGGCCATTAGCTTTAACTTCTTTTTGGCTAAATCTTTCATATTATATTAACCCACCTCCATTAATCTGTGTATCGCCATGTGGCTGTGGCTTACCAGAGATTCTAACTGGCATCCATCTCAGGCAGAGGATCCATGGCTTCTCTGTCTCTCTCCCTTTCTTCCCAGCATTCAGTTCTGTTTTCTCCACCTACCTAAGTTCTGCCCTATCAGGCCCAAAGCAGTTTCTTTATTCATTAACCAATGAAAGCAAGACATGAACAGAAGAACCTCCTACACCGGATCTCTCTGAGTTTGAGAGCAGCCAGCGAGTTCCACCATAGCCAGGGATACACAGAGAAACCCCCTCCTCTAAAAACTTCAAAACAAGGAAGAAATAAGAACTTCATTTGATGTTTCTCAATTTGTTATTCATTAATTTATTTTGAGAGCAAGGTGTCATGTCTTTGTCTTTCTGTAAGGCAAAGATGGTTTTCTTAATCAGCCCTGTGGAGATAAAGAATTTTATCCAAGGGGAAGCGTGTGCTACAAAGTCCTCCCAAGTGACTACGTAAGGAATCTGGTCTGGGTGTTCAGGTTTGCCGAAGATCATTTCTTTGTCCTAGAAATGATAACATGGATCAAAGGTTCTCTCTATTGACTACCTGGTTCCAAATGTTGGCCATTTATTCTTGCAAAAGATGCTAAGTTTACCCCTTTAGTCTCCAGTTTGTCTCTTTTTGCCTTATTTCTAAAGTCTGAAAGTCTTCCAGAATTAAAGTTAGGGGAGTGGGAGTTCTCTTAGTCTGTCCCATACCAACCATGTCAGTCTAATAACAACACAAGGACAGTGAACAGATAGACTGTCATTCTGGCACCTGGAGGAAGAACTGAAACCTAGGTGCTAGGAGGAACCCGATAGTAGGGAAATCCCCAGGAATCTACAAGGATGATCCCAGCTAAGATCCTAAGCACTAGTGGGGAAGGTGCCTCCTCTGGCCTTCTCCTGTAATCAGATTGATGACTACCTTAATTATCATCATAGAACCTCATCCAGCAACTGTGGGAAGCAGAATCAGAGAGCCACACCCAGTCTCTGGATTGGACAGAGTGATAGCAGGAGCGGAGGGGTAAAGACTGTGATGGGGAGCCCCTGAGCTAGTGGGAACTCACTGACTCTGGACCGACAGCACGGTAGCCTACACAGAACAAAACGAGGCCCTCTGTGGGTGACAGTTGTGTGACTTAGGCAGTCTGTGTGGCTGCTGGCAGTGGAAAGGAGCCCATTTCCACTTTGGAGGGATTGTTGTAATCGGCTGGCCTGGTCTGTCACCTGGGTATCCTATCCCTTTTAGAGACAATCCCCGCCCACTTCCAGTCTCCCCTGTCTCTCTCTCCCTCTTTCTCTCCTTCCCTCCCCCATCTCTATCTGCCCTTCTTCTGGAGAGGCATCTTCTGCTTCTCTCTCTCTTCTCCCCCTTCTCTCCTTCCTTTCCCCTCCATAACCCACTAAATAAACTCTACACCCAAGGTCTGCATGGCATATCTATCTATCTTTATTTACATCTTAATATTCCAACATTTGCAAGGCTATCATGTTGGGGGAAGGAAGGTTGGAGAGCTTTGTGATCCATTGGGGATGGGGTCTGGGAGGAAAGGGAGACAGCAGCAGGTGTTCTGCTACACAGCTGGGCATGAGTCTGGGGAAATTGGATCTGGAGAACAGGAGAGGTGTGGAGCCACCATCAGCCCAGTTGTCGGGAAGAACTAGGTCATTGTCACAGTCTGAACAAAGCAGAAACAAACGCCAGCAGTGTAAATAGCTCACTGCCCATCTATCTGGGATTCACAGTCTTCTGGGCTCCTCCATGGGACTCTGCTCACTTCTCCAGCCCCGCCCTCTGCAGCGCACACAGCCTGTCTTCCAGGCTCCGACTGCCTCTGCTCCTCCACTGCTGTTCTTGTGTCATCTCATGGTACCGGTATCTCCGCTGTGCTCAGGCTTCTTGCTGCAATTCCACTTTCACCAGTAGCCTCTCCTGGCTTACTTCCTGTTGCTAAACCTCAACTTCCTGCATAGCTCTGTTCAATCCTGAGCCTTCAGCTGCTACTAAGACTGCATCTTCACCAATGGCCTCTTGCTAGCCAAGCCTCAGGTGCCCTTCACGACTCCTTCATGCCTTCGAAACCAGTGCCACCTGGATGACTCTAACACTCCTAAGTTCACCTGCCAGTGCAAGGTGCAACCTTGGCCACTGTGGTGGTGTGAAAGACAGTAGCACTATTGCTATTGGGAACTGTGGCGTTGTTGGTGTAGATATGGCCTTTATGAAGGAAGTATGTTACTCTGGAGGCAGGCTTAGAGATGTGATAGATACTCAGACCTCACTCAGTGTGATACACAGACTGTTTCCTGTTGCCTGCAATTTCTCCAGCCTCATGTCTGCCTGCATGCTTCCATGCTTCCTCCCATGGAGAGAATGAACTGAATCTCTGAATTGTAAACCACCCAATTAAATGTTTCCCTCTATAAGAGATACCCTGATCATGATGGCTCTTCACAGCAGTAGAACCCTAACTAAGACAGCCACCTCTGAACACAGCTTCTGTGCCGATTCTGAGGAGACACTGTCCAGATTTCACCTCAATGATGCTTGTCTTTTCTTAATCACTGCAAATTTCTCAGCTTGAGCTGAGCAGTATCAGTTGTCCCAGTCAGTCAAAAGTTTTACTTCAGTGGTTCTGGTTTCTTGTTAATCATGGTTGATTCTTTGGCTCCAGTGGACCTGACAGCACAGATTCTTCACACAAGAGGGCTGTTAAAATCTGTCCTTTCACAGTCCTCCCCAAACAGCCTTGTCAGGCCCCTTTCAGTGGGCACAGATGTGTCATCCTCCTTCTCTTTCCTTCTAAAATGTCTTTGTGACTGCATTTGACATTCCGTGCCATGGGATGTATGTGAGGATCACGCAGAGTCGTGTCAACATATTCTCAATGAAGTGTACATTGAGTCATTCTCAATGCAGCCAGTCTCACCATTTCTATTATGTACTTATGTGGCATATTTCAGGAGGCCGTGACCTATGAGGATGTGCATGTGAACTTCACTCATGAAGAGTGGGCTTTGCTGGATCCTTTCCAGAAGAGTCTCTACAGAGATGTGATGCTGGAAACCTGTGAGAACCTCACTTCTGTAGGTAGGACTGCTCAATTTTTTTTTGTCAGTTTTTTACAATAAGGGGACACACACTTTTTTCCTTTTTAATTTTTTAAATTTATTTTGGATACCAACCACAGTTCCCTTCCTACCCCTCCTCTAACTCCTGAACCTGGCTTCCCCAAACCTCCCCCTCATCCACTCCAAAAGTGTAAGGCCTCCCATGGGGAGTCAACAAAGCCAGGCAAATGAAGTTGAGGCAGGACCAAACCCCTCTCCCCTATATCAAGGCTGAGCAAGGCATCCCACCACCATAGGGAATAGGCTCCAAAAAGCCAGCTCTTGCATCAGGGATAGATCCTGGTCCCACTGCCAGGGGCCCCTCAAACACCAGGGTACGCAATTGTCACCCACATGCAGAGGACCTAGTTCGGTCCCATGCAGGCTCCACAACTGTCGGTCTAGAGTTCATGAGTTTCCACAAACTGGGACAAGCATTTCTTAGTCATTGGTTCTCTCCTGGGATTTCAGTTGTGAAAAAGGAAGAATGTGGTAAATTAATCAGGCAAGGTTCTTGAAATTACCTGGCGTGAGGGAGAAGGAAACACGGAACACAAACGAACCTGCTTAGGAGTTTATTAGAGGGGGGATTGGTGTGCAGAGAGAGAGAGCACGAGAGAGGGAGGGAGAAAGAGCGAGAAATGGCGCCTCTAGCTTTTAAAAGCTGCCTAGCACAGGTGCAGAGGGGTTGGTGTAACTACGTTATACACTGATGACACAGATGGGCAACTCACGCATGCGTGCAAAGGTTTTACCCGAGTCACGCGAGGCTCTTTGTGCTTGAGGGCCCATCCGCATATGCCTGCCTTTAGAACCTGGAAGTGCAGCCTTATCTGTGGCTGAATAATTATAGTTCTTAGGTTCAATAAAGATAGTGACTTGAATTTTGCATAATTTCTAGCAATATATCATACATATTTTCTGGTATTGTATTTTAGGCTACAAATGGGAAGACCAGAATATTGAAGAACATTGTCAAAGTTCTAGAAGACACAAAAGGTAATTTACGTATGCAAGCTGATACATACATACATCTGAAGAAATCTCAGTATGATCGGAAGCTTTAAGGAAAGATAGCACTAAATAAGGCCAGCTTTATGATGATTGTGAAATTCTCACAAACCAGTGTGCCTCAGTGTCAGGGAGGTGTCTCTAAGAAAGAAGACAATGAAACTGTTATGCCCAAATCTGCAAAGTTCCCTCAAAAGCCAACAAGGAGACCGAGTCCCGTATGTAAAATCAAAGAGCCCTTATTTTATAGAAATTTGCAAACTGGGTCTCTCCGCACGTCCAACGTATTGGAATAAACTGAGGTCCCCGAGCTCAGTTAGAGTAGGATTTTATGGTAGTAAAGGTGGGGGTGAGGGGTCTCTGAGGTTCAGGACCCCTGATTGGCTGACATTTGTCTAGGGTGTCCTGGTGAGTGTGCTGGCAGGTGGTCCTATCTACAGCAGTTGGAACATTAGGCATTTCCTTTGGATGGTCTGTTTTTGTGTGGTGCTCAGGTAACCTCAGTTTGTGCTTCTTCCTGCGACCAGGTAAACTACTGAGATTCAGGCCTCTTATTAAATTTTTTTTTTTTTTTTTTTTTGGTTTTTCGAGACAGGGTTTCTCTGTAGCTTTGGTGCCTGTCCCAGAACTAGCTCTTGTAGACCAGGTAGGCCTCGAACTCCCAGAGATCCACCTGCCTCTGCCTCCCGAGTGCTGGGATTAAAGGCGTGCGCCACCACCGCCCGGCTTATTAAATTTATTGATGGCTGAGTTCTATTCTGGCAGATGATAATGATTGGAAGTAAAGAACTTCCTTTGGGTGATCTGTTTGTCATGACTGGATTCTACGGAAACAATGTGTTAACACACGACACTGTCACAGGATAGATGTTGGGTTCATGCAGGTCCGACTGTGGCTGCAGGGGGCCAGCCTCTAAGGACTGAAGCCCTTCCCCTTCACCCAGGGCATATTTATTTTTCTCCATATTTACATTTTAGCCAGTTGATTTCCATATGCTCAAAACAATGGGATTGAAGCTTCCAAAAATATAGTGCCGAGTGCAGATTCTCAAGTCATCAGGTACCACAGTTTTCCCGAACCAAGTTTCACATAGGCTTTGTACCCTTGGAAAACTCTCAGATAAGATTCACATAGGTCAGCAAGAGAAACAAAGGGTATCTGCTAAATAAAAGATGGATCAGGGCTAGGTGCTAGCATTCCGGAGGTAGGCCAGGTGTAGCCAGTGGGGATTAGGGTCAGGTATAGCCCAGCGGGAATGCTGCCACAGATCCCTCCTTTCTTTATACAAAAATTGATGATCTTGAATGCAGTCTTACAGTATATACAGCTTTTTTTTCTAGCTATTTGTCTTACAATCGCATGTAAGTAGACTAAAACACATTTTAAAGCCAATAAAGTTAATATTGCTAGAACAAAAGCAATACTTGCTAGGATAAGAAATCTGTTTCAGGTGATTCATAGGATTGAATAATGCTATTGTATTTGCAAGACCTACCATAATAGCTATTCCTGCTGTATCAGGTAGCTTTATTTGCAAAAGTTCCTTTTTGTAAATGAAGTCATTTGAGAATACTTAGGGTGACCCATCAAGTGCATCTTAGCCTTATCTCAGTCATACTTGCTTTCATTAAATCTTAAGGATGTGATACATACAATAAGAAGAGACACTGCAATCACATTTTAATGTTACCTGCTCCTTCAGAATTTCTATCTGATTCCCTAACAATAAAACAGCTGGCCTTAACTCAGCTAATTAATTCATTATCTCATTATCAGTTGTATTTTGTTCAGCCCAAAGTTCTGTTGAATGTTTGTACCAGTCTTACCGTGGACTTGACAACCTCACAGGAATCCAGATTGCTGGCCTTGCTCTAAGAACATGGAAACTTTCAAAAGGTCAAATTTAAGCCTGGGTGTGAAGGGTACAGCATTCACAGTGATGCTGTGTTGGGCATGAGGCCCAGTGTAACTTCCTAAGCCGACCTTGAGTTTGATGAGGCCTAGTGTAACTTTCTGGGCCTAGCTTGAGTTTGGAGACCTGTGTCTGGCTATTAACTTCCACATGGGAAGTGACTCTGCACAGCCTGACCTGGTCCGCCTCTGCCCAGCCACCGCTAACGTGGCAGAATATTATTGGCCCTTGTCCCTTGCTCTGCACTGGCCCTGCCTAATACAATTGAACGAGATCCTGCTTTGACATGCTCCTGACTCAGTATGTGTTTCTCCCTGTTGGCCTGGTGAAGGGCTGATTTTTTTGATGCTCACCATCCCACTCAGCCGCAGGGAAAGTCTGGCAGTCCAGCTCCGCTGCTGCCCTTTCTGCCAGAGAACCCAGCAATGCTGTAATTATTAGGGTCATTGTACAGGCCCCTTAGGAGTAAGTAAAATAATGGTACACATGCCATAAAAGTATGGCTTTGATTTGGTTTGAAAGACAAAGTATATTTATTATCCTTAATGTTTGATTTTCCTTCAGATGCCTCAGAGGGTGGAAGGTAATGAGGTCTTTTAGGTACCAGCCCCTTAGACCTCTTTAGGGTCCAGTCGAGACGCCACAGCTGGCAGGGGAACTGACTGAAGAGCATCAGCTCACACATCTCTTTCATCATGTCTGTTTACTCTTCTGTTATCACTTTTTATCCCACACCTTACACAGTTCTCAGGCAAGGCAGAACTAGAGATCTTATATTTTTCATGGTTCTAGAAACTGATCAAAGCTCACAGAGAGCAGTAGGTTGGCAGCTTCTTGTATGGCTCAGGGAACTGTGGCTGTGGCTCGGGGAACTGGCAGCTGCTTGGAGGATCAGTTAAGGAGGGAACTTTAAATAGAATCTAAGAGGAAAGAAGGGGGTTTTGTGTGCTCCAGTGTTTGCTGCTGTTTTGTTTCATTAACATTTAGAAAATTTAAGGGTGTCCTCATATCCTCCTTCTGTTTAGCAGGCATCTCTTTCAGTGCAGTTAGATCTCTCAATAATTGATTGTCCTGTAGTGATGTAGGAGGGTCTCCTTTCTATGTGTTGCTTTCATTGGCTAAATAAAGAGACTGCTTTGGCCTTTTGATAGGACAGCAGTTTAAATAGGCGGAGTAGACGGAACAGAATGCTGGGAGAAAGAAAGCAGAGTCAGGCAGACACCATGCTTCTCCTACCCAAGACGGACAGCGGTTAGAATCTTCCCGGTAAGCCACAGTCAAGTGGCGATACACATTAATAAAAATGGGTTAATCAAGATGTGAGAGTTAGCCAGTAAGAGGCTAGAGCTAATGGGCCAGGCAGTGTTTCAATGAATACAATTTGTATGTTGTTATTTCAGGTGTAAAGCTAGCCGTGCGGGAGCTGGGTGGGACGAAAAGCAGGCCTGCCTGCCGCTCCTTTTATACTGTAGGAGTGTATGGCATCCCTGTAACATGTTTTATGTTGTAATGTGCAAAAAATGGTTGCATTTTACTAGAAACATAAGCTGGGCCATTATCAGTCTTAATTTGTGCTGGTATGCCCTTACAGCCACTGTTTCTAATAAATGTGTAATTATAGAATCCACCATTTTGTTATCTTGTTGCCAGGTAATAGAAACTTTTTCTTTAAGCCCTACTATTAACATGGTGTGTGTTATGAAAGTCTAAGGCTTCTAACACATTTCCTATCAACAATTGATCAATTTCTGTGTTTCCTTCTGCTAATGGCCCAGGCAACCCAACATGGGGTTGAATCTGGGATATACAGTGCACAGTTTCTTTCTCGGATTGTCTGTTGTAGGCATACAATAATAAAGTTAATTTCGAATTATCAGGAATAAGTTCACCTTGCAAAATTTGAAACAAATTAGTTCATTCTTGACTAGACAATCCAATTGTTGGCTGCAATCAGTTAATACCCAATAATTTTTGGAAATCATTAAGATTATGTAGTCAATCTCTCCTAATCTGTACTTTTTGCAGTTGAATTCTCTGTTTACTTTTTAATAGCCTAAATAGCTAAGAGAATATCCCCGCCTTATTTTTTCAGGAGACATTTGTAGTCTCCGACAGGGTAAATTTTCTGGATTACATGAACATTCTTTCTAAGGTATCTGTGTCAGAAGACGCAGCCAATAAAATGTCATCCACATAATGATATGTTGTAAAAGGAGCGGGGGGGGGGGGGGGGGGGCGCTTCCTGCCCGGCTCCCGTCCTCCTAGCTAGCTTAGCCCCTGAAGTAATTACACAGAAACTCTTCACTTAAACACTGCCTGGCCCATTAGTTCTAACCAATATCAGCAGTAGCTTTAACCCATTCCTCTGAAGGAGCTCCCTGAGCCTTCAAGGGCCATTTGGCCTTTTGGCATTCTGTAGTGGCATTCTCAAAATCCAAAGGGTCAGTTAGAACCTTTCTAACATCTAGACCAGCTATTGTGTATGTAATGCTGAAGTTAGTCTTTACTGAAAGTCAGTGAAAACTTCTTGTGTACTTTGTGTGATTTTTGTGAAGGAGATAGATCCTTTTGTGAAGAATCCCTGGCTCCTCAACCTTATCCCAGGCACTTGAAAGCACTAGATGATACATCTCCATAGTAGCATCATCAGACTGCTTTTGTGTTTGCAGATTGGCATACCGGTCTCTCCTAATAATCCATCCTTTGCTATGTTCATTTCTGTGGTCTGAATTACCCTGTTTCGTGGCTGCTGCATCCTCTCCCCACCAAGTAAGCCGTTGTAATTGAGAACTAGCTTTTAGTATAACCGCTATTAGGTCCTTCCAGTCGTGTGGAATAACTGTTCCCAGTAGCCCAGTTGTTTAAAACCTGTCTTACGTAGAGCAAATGCATCCCATATGCTACCACTGCTTCTTTTAACCTTTTCAGATCTTTCATGCCTCGGTGTCTCCAGTCAGTCTGAACGTAGCCCCGAGACTGTTGATCATTTGCAGGAACACGCTGGAGGTGTCCTTATGGCCCTAGGCAACCACTCCTCAAATTTCCTCATAAGGTGGAGCTGTAGATCTATAATTGAACATTTCCCCTTTCTCCTAGTGGGAAAAATTTCCTTTTCATTCTTTCTCCTTCCATTTCTTTTCTACTGGGAAGATTTCCTTTTTTTTTTTATCTCCTTGCTTTCCTTTTTCTTTACTGGAAAGTTTCCTTTTTTTTTGTCTCTGGAACTCTTATTTTTTTTAAACATGCAGTTAACCTTTCAGCCTTTTTGATTTCTAAGTTTGTTTCATCTGATGAAGAAGGAAGAGAGTCACCTCCTGTTTCCTGACTTTCCTCACTTCTGCTGTCCTCTGAAATAGCTTTCCTAGCAACCTGTGAAGGAACATTCTCCTCTGCTACCCTAACTGAGCATCTTCCCTTTTTTCTGTTCTACTTCAGATATAACTTTAAGTGACTCTTCACTCTGCAATGGCTCTAGAGAATTTGATATTAAGTTACATAAAGACCAATTTTTTATGGTGTTGGCTCTCCTTTCTTATGAGCCCTCCTCAAAGCTCTGTAGCTTGCTTCCATCTTTAGTTTCAATTGAACTTGAGGAGTTGCCTGAAATCAATGGCAGTGCTGTTTAATTAATACAAAAAGCTCTGTAAGTTGTTTTTCCTTCACTTCCACTCCATCTTCTGATAACAGACATTTTAATAACCGTAAGTATTGTTGCTCCAGTGATGGGAAGTTTTCCATGAGCCTGCCAATCCTGGAGTGTCTTTACCCTGAGGGCACTTCTTCCAGTTCTTAAGATAGCCAGCTTCTCTGTCCTTCACAGGTCCTTTGTCCTTCTTCAAGCCTCCTGTTGGGCACCAAATGTTGCAGCACAGTGTTGGGTGAACTCTGGTCTGTGAAAAAAAGATGCAGAGACACCTTAGGAATGAATTTAGCCTTTCCTGGCTGCAGGGGGATTTCGCCTAATATTCTCAGAAATGAAGCACTTTCCCTTTGCCAAGGGCATTTTTATTTTTCTCTATATTTACACTCTAGCCAGTTGATTTCCATATGCTCAAAACAACAGAAATGAAGCCTCCAAAAATACAGTGCCAAGTGCAAATTCTCCATTCATCAGGTGCCACAGTTTTCCAGGTTTCCTGAACTGAGCTATGCTTAGACTTTCTATCCTTGAGAAACTCTCACAAGATTCATATAGGGTGACAAGACAAACAAAGGTTATCTACTAAATCAAAGATGGATTAAGGTTAGGTGCCAACACTCTGGAGCCAGGCCAGGTGTAGCCCACCGGGAATGCTGCCACATGACAGTATTTTAATAGCTCCATGAGATCCATTGTGTAGAACTGTCCATTCCTTTAATTTTGTACCTTTGTATCATATAGGCATATACATTGATAAGGGGATCAATGTCTGTGCAAGACATATTCTAAGCAAATAGTCCATAGTAAATCTAGTGTTGCTCATACAGAGGCTTTCCATGGTTTAGTGAGGGAAGGTCACTTTATGAATATCAATAAGGGTGTTGTGGTGGAAAAACCTTAATCCCTATACCACATCTTTATGTGAAGCAAAAGTTAAACTGTGTGAATGCAATGTGAAAATCTTTTGTTTGTTATTCTTTCCTTAATAGATATCTCATGTGTCTCTCTGGATACAAACTATTTGAACATAAGAGATATGGAAAGAAGCAATATACCTCTTTTTCTCCTACAACACTTAGAAGATATGTAGTAGTCCCTACTATGAGCAGATTTGGTGAATGTGTTACAAATTTACAATTAATTGGTTTTCCAACTACACTGGGAATACAACAAACTCACACTGTAAAGTCTTATGAGAACAAGGAGTATGAGAATTCTTCTGTCTGTTCTGGTTCACTTTGCACTTGTCGTGTGACTCAGAGTATAGAAAAATGTTATGCATGCAACCAGTGTGGTAAAATTCTGAGTTCTTCCAGTTCTGTTGAAAAATGTGATAAAGCTCATATGAGAAATGTAAGTGATAAATGTGAACTATCTACTAAAGTCTTTGACCTTCACAGGTATCTTCAAATACACAAAGGGATCCATAATGAAGAAGATCTCTGTAAATATAATCAGCATGATAAAGACTTTAGATCTGATTCCTCTTTACAATTACACCAGAGAACTCATATGGAAGTAGAGCCCTATAAATACAATCAATGTGGAAAAGGCTTTGCACATCACTGTTGCTTTCAAGTACATCGAACTCATACTAATGAGCAATCATGTAAATGTAATCAGTGTGGTAAAGTCATGGCAACAACAAACAGCACTGTCCACGTTACACACCATAATCTTAAAATACATGAAAGAATCCGTCCTGGAGAGAAACCCTATGTATGTGTTCAATGTGGTAAAGCCTTTGTAAGTCGCCATAATCTTAAAATACATGGAAGAATTCATACTGGAGAGAAACCCTATGTATGTGTTCAATGTGGTCAAGCCTTTGTACATTTAACTAGTCTTCGAAATCATGAAAAAACTCATACTGGGGAGAAACCTTTTGAATGTAATCAGTGTGGTAAAGCTTTTACCTGTCGTAGTAATCTTCAAATACATGAAAGTATTCATACAGGAGTCAAACCCTATGAATGTAGTCAATGTGGCAAAGCCTTTGCAAACATCATTTATCTTCAAAGGCATGAAAGAAGTCATAGTGGAGACAAACCGTATGAATGTAATCAATGTGATAAAGCTTTTGTACGTTTAACTAGTCTTCGAAAACATTATAAAAACCATACTGGAGAGAAACCCTATGAATGCAGTCAGTGTGGTAAAGCCTTTGCAAGTCTCAGTAATCTTCAAGCACATGAAAGAATTCATACTGCAGACAAGCCCTATGTATGTAATCAATGTGGTAAAGCCTTTTTAAGTCGCCGTAATCTTCAAATACATGAAAGAATTCATACTGGAGAAAAGCCCTATATATGTCATCAATGTGGCAAAGCCTTTGCACATTTCACCAGTCTGAGAAATCATGAAAAAATTCATACTGGAGAGAAGCCCTATATATGTATTCAGTGTGGTAAAGCCTTTGCATGTCGTAGTAATCTTCAAGTACATGAAAGTACTCATACAGGAGTTAAACCATATGAATGTAATCAATGTGGTAAAGCCTTCGCACACATAATTTATCTTCAAAGGCATGAAAGAAGTCATAGTGGAGACAAACCATTTGAGTGTAATCAATGTGGGAAAAGCTTTACACAGTTCTGTCGTCTTCAGAAACATTTCAGAAGTCATACTGGAGAGAAACCCTATGAATGCAGTCAATGTGGTAAAGCCTTTGCAAGTCGAAGTAATCTTCAAACACATGAAAGAACTCATACTGGAGACAAGCCCTTTGTATGTAGTCAATGTGGTAAAGCCTTTGCCAGTCGTCGTAATCTTCAAACACATGAAAGGAGTCATACCGGAGAAAAACCCTATGTATGTGATCAGTGTGGTAAAAGCTTTGTAAGTCGCAGTAATCTTAAAATACATGAAAGTAGTCATACAGGACTAAAACCGTATGGATGTAATCTATGTGGCAAAGCCTTTGCACATAGCATTTATCTTCAAAGGCATGAAAGAAGTCATAGTGGAGACAAACTGTATGAATGTAATCAGTGTGGTAAAGCCTTCACCCGTCACCGAAATCTCCAAACACATGAAAGGAGTCATACCGAAAAAGCCCCTGTTAATGTAATTGATGCACTAAAACTTTGCAGGTCAGTGTAGTCCTCAAACACATCAAAGAATAGTGAAGAAAGCCAAAGAAATGACAATGTGATAATGCCTCTTCATGGTACAGTCTTCTTCAAAGGCATGAAAGAGTTACTGTCCGGAGAGAAGCATTATGAATCTAGTAAATTCAGTAAAACTTTGCACACCACACATTATTTCTACTGAGCCGTCTCACTGATGCCCAAATAGGATTAGTAGAACCTTTCCATTGGTCAAATATTGTCTTCTTTTGAAATTATAAACAAATTGTCACCCAAGAATAGAGGAGCACAGAATATTTTGAATAATACAACCTATTTGCAAATGACAATGTTATTTATCCTGCCATCCCTTTAAATTTTTTTGTTAGTTTATTCTAAGCACTAAATGCTTTTTCCTAACACTTTCTCAGAAATATGGGTAAAAGTGGTTGCTACTAAACCTGAATACCTGAGTTCAGTCTCTGGGATACACACATTACTCATACCAGTTTTTCTATGATTACTACATTTGGGCTTTGTCATATGCACACCACACACCCACACACATGGATGTTTTTGTAACTAAAATGATGACCAGTAAGGTTACTCGTTTGTTTAATGCACTTGCTCCCTAACTTGATTACTTCAGTTTGTTCTCTAGTACTGAAGAAGCAAAGAATACTCACCTGTAAGATGTCCTCTGCCTGCTAAATGCACAGCATGGCACAGGTGTTTACAAACTGTTAAGAATATCTAAAGAGGTGAAATTAACAAAACAAAGAAAATAGCCAAAATATTAAAGAACACAGGAAATGATTACCAATTGAAACGAATACATTGTAGGATTCTATCACATCACAATTAAACAAAAATGAGAGTTACTGTTTAAATCTTCCATTATTTGTCTGATTCAAAGATAGGTCATTTTATAAACATATCTCAACTGGTAATAGTCATTTATTTTGGAGACAGGCAAATGGATCTTTCTGAGTTTGAGGCTATTATGGTTTACATCGTGAGTTCCAGGATACTCATGGCTATCTGGAGAGATCCTGTTTCAACCAAAAAGAACATTTAGGTAACTATAGCATATATCACAGTATGGAATTTTGCCTAGCTTAATCTGGACTCATCTCTAACCAGCTAAACCCTTCGTTGTGTTCACTCACATCAAGAGAACTGTGTTAATGGCAATAAGAAGAAATGTGCAGAGCCCATTCACAGAGGGAAAGGAATCTGTTCAATCCTTTGTAGACCATGTAGAAGGAATTTTCATCACCTCCAAGTGAGAGAAGATAGAAGGAGTCAAGGGGCATCTTCATCTTTTGAATTATAATAACATATTTGAGGGCTGGAGAGATGGCTCAGAGGTTAAGAGCATTACCTGCTCTTCCAAAGGTCCTGAGTTCAATTCCCAGCAACCACATGGTGGCTCACAACAATCTGTAATGAGGTCTAGTGCCCTCTTCTGGTCTGCAGATATACACACAGACAGAACATTGTATACATAATAAAATAAATATTTAAAAAAAAATAACATATTTGAATAATAGACAGTTGTCTCAGTACTTATGCTGTAGGTACCCAATTTTGATTCCCAGTGCCCTCATCAGATGGCTCAAAACTACCTGTATTACAGCTCCAGGAAATCTGATGCATTCTTCTGTCTTCTTTTTGTATGAGATATGCAAATGATGTAAAGGCATATTTTTTAATATAATTTTCCAAGTGTAAAAATAAAAACTTAAAGCCTTTTTAAAATTAATGGAGTCATGCATGTGTGT